GGTGATCCATAGTAATGGAAATGGGAAAAAAAAATTGGAATCACTCAATTAATTAAATTCAATGTCACTTGAGATATTTTATACACATTTTTGTTAATTAATACACACCACTTATTGAATAACCGCATATTTACGAAATAAATTATTAACCGATGGGGGAGACGCGAACCCTAGACCTAACGCATACTAAACACTAACGCTATCCACTACACTATACACACAACTACAATATTTGAGCATATAATATTCCTTATATACTCTACACATATTTCATGAAAATGAATTTACATAAACACTAATAGACAATAACGATAATAAATAATAAACAATTATAACACTATTTATACACAATAAACTCACAACGCGATTATATAGACGTGACAGGAAACCGACGCGACGGACAAAATAGAGACGACCATTTTTAAATGGATGCCATGATAATGAATTGCGCGCAACATGTATCGAAATTTTGAACTAACTATGGATCTCCCAACCAAAGTTTATATGGATGAGGCAGCCATATGTGAAAATCCATAACATGAATTGTAAGCCCAACCATGCTTATGGATGTCACATCCATATTTGATTCAACAATATAATATGGCTCCCTCATCCATTGAATATGGAATGTGCTTCCATTCTGAAAGTTGTCTCTTCCATTGAATTGGATAACACAAAAATATTCTGCTCAACAATATTTTTATAGATATCTCTTCCAGACCTTTTCTTTCCGTGTACGATTCTGCACATATTTTAAATAAATATACAAAAATTAAATTATTTAACCTATCCCGTGTAGAAATTGCCATATTTAGGCCATAACATGGCATGAAACACCTTCCCAGATCGGGCCCAAGTCTGGCCAGACTTGGGCCCGATCTGGGAAGGCATTTCATGCCATGTTATGGCCTACACAATGATTAAAACCATTGCCCCCTATTTGGGCCATGGTTAAATTTCTACACGGGACACGGAGAAAAATGAAAATTCAGATTTCGGACTGAATATAAAACAATTTGAATGATTTGTATTATCGTAGGAAGAAATATTAAATTTTGGTTCTCTATCCCAAAAAGTTTAGTAACGATTTTCAATTAAGATCAATGCTAAATATCTTAATAAACGCTAATAGTCTTCTTTCAACAAGTGCAATCAGATTCCGTAATTAATTCAAAGGTGAAAAGAATTAGGTACAATTATAATTATTTGCATTTATTTTAATTTAGCTACTCAATTGTTACAAACTTTGTATCAACGTTCACTTAAACGGAGACTGTTCTGTGCGAGAGTCCTTAGATTCATTCCCAAACAGTTTTTAGGAATGCGAAACTCTGTGGCGCGCCTGCACCCGCGTTTGTTCAGTTTCTTCGTTTTTTATATATGGAAGTCTGGGTGTAGTTCGTAGTGTGCGTCGTGCCGTATTAATTGTTTCAATTAATTAAATTTTAAATTTTAAATATAATAGTGAGTGCAGTTTTGTGATAATGTTCTAGTGTTACAAATGAATTTACAGGTTAAAAAGAGGCCTAATACTTTTTGTCAAAATCTATGTGTATTTTGACCTATTTTTTTTCCTACAGGTCAAAATGCAGTCGAATTTAGAGAAGAGAGAGCCTTTACATTATGTCAAAATGTATGTCTATTTTGACCTATTTTTTGACCTACATGTGAAAAAGGGCTTTCATCATACGTCAAAATCTATGTTAAAGAACCTACCCAAGTAGAAATGTAATACTGGCATAGTACTGATCTTGTACTGACTGCCAGTATTGCAGTACTGACTCCAGTACTAAGTCAGTACTGGGAAAACCCTGGCTGGTAACGCTGTCCAGTACTGATTTTTACCGGCGGTCAGTATAAGCTCCTTATTTAATTATTAAAGCATGGGGAGTAATTTATTGAATACTAATAATTATTATTAGTATTAATTATTATTAATTAATTATTAGAATTCCTTTTATTAAAATAAGTTTAAAAAAAATATTTTTCTTATTTTTTCATTATTTATTTAAATCTTATTTATTTAAATTAATGACTAAATTATTATTAGGCTTCCGTTTCCGGTACCGTTTCGGTGTACACGCGTTTGGAAAGAGTTAAGAGTTTTTTTGAGAAATATAAAGGTTTTAAAAAAGGGTGGGTAATGTAGAGTGCTGAGTGTGTAGTGTAATTTGCGGTAGTGTAAAGGAAAGGTATGTTGGTATAGAGTAGTGAATGTGTGAGTGATAAAAAAGGTAAAAAAGAGAAGTGTGTTTTGTGAGGTTAGGTTGCTTGAAGTGAGAGAGAGGAGAGAGAGACAGTGGAAAAATTTTGAGCATTTGAGTGATAAGGTAGATTTCTGGAATGGCTGAGTTTGACTCAAGTAGTGTTAGCGAGAATGAGAAAAAGGCGCGGGTATTTGAAAGGGGAATAGGAAAGAATGGAAAAAAGATGACGTGTGAGGATTGCATGGATTTGTTAGAATTAGTATGGATGATGAAGGACGCGATGGATGAAGGAGCGAAGAGAGTAAGGGAAAATTTGATGGATATATGTGAGGATGGGGAATCAAGGGACAAAGAGATAGTGGAAATTGAAGAGAGGTTGGAGAAATTGCAGGAAATGTGGAATGAATGGGATAGTAAGTGGAAAAAGGATAAGGAAAGCATGTGGAGAAGAATGAATGGATTAGAAAAATTTATAAAGGAAGTGAATGAGGGGACTGAGAAAGTTGAGGGAAGTGAATATGAGAGGTTAAAGTGGAAAATGGGAGATTTGTCAAGACGAGTGGATGTAGTAGAAAATGAAAAAAGGAAAAAGAATGTAGTGATCAGAGGTATGAATGTAGGTGTGTTGGAGGGTAAAAGAGCAGTGGAAAAAGTGTTGGCGTGGGTGGGGGTTAATGTCTCAGTGAAAATGGTACAAGCGTTAGGAAAGGGTGAATATGGGGTACCAAAGTTATGGTTGGTGGAGTTGGGTAGTGAGGAAGAGAAAATGGATGTAATGAGGGTGAAAGGAAGACTGAAAGGAAGTGTAATAAGAATAGATGAGGATAGATGTTGGAGAGAGAGAAGAATGCTATGGCTATTGAGAGAAAGAGCGTGGACGGAGAGAGTGAAAGGAAAACAGGTAAGAATGGGTAAGGATTGTATTTGGGTGGATGGGGTAAAGTATGTTGTGGGGGAGGATATGGGTGGAGTGATGGAAGTGTGTAAAGTGTGATAGACAGGTATAGGCTGAGAATGAGGTGAGAAGATTTTGCTTGGATGGATGGATGGATGGATAAAAGTGGATGACTGGAGCGTGTAAGGGAGGTGAGAAAGCAGGTTTTTGAAAAAAGGGTGGGCGAATTGGGTTGAAGCCAGCATGGGCATAGAAGGAACTGGAAACGGAAGCCCGGCACTGGCGATAGGTTAAGAGCGTAAGGTAGAGAGCGTGGAGAGAGTTGCGTTTTTTAGGTTAAGTTGTATGAAGAGAATGTTTAGTTGTAAGGATTTTTGTAAATATAGGTTAAGATTGTTATGTATGTACTTGGGAGTCTCGAACCCTACCTATTGTAGGGAGAGTAAATAAACTATATAGACTAAATTATTATTATTACTGGTTATTAATTATTTAAACTTATATTTTATGTAACACTGTTAAGAATTATACACAAAACACTTAAAACTAAGACGGAAAAATATCGCACGCACGGGGGACCGAACCCAAGACCTCGAGGACGCAAGTCGAATACACATACCGCATAGCCACGCAAGCTCGGGAGTTATCTCGCATAAACTTCCTTTTGAATTGTGGGACCGATATATACAGTGCTTTAATAATAAATCCACTGCATATTATATTTATTTCAAGAAAAATTATTATACATATATCTTTATATACATTTTATCAAGTCATTATGTAGTAATTAATAGATACATCATAATAATATGGTAAAAATTATTAATATAATTATTTATTTATTATTTATAGTCTAATTATTTATTAAAATAATAATAAAAAAAATTTATTTAAGAAAATTTTTGTTAAATAAATAAATAAAAATATATATACAGCTTTAAAAAATAAAATTTTTTTTATTATTAATAATACGTAATAATTCTAAAAATAATTAATTAATAATAATTTATTATTATATTATTAAAATATATCTATTAGTTAATAATAAATTAATAAAATGTTTGATATTATTGTTGATGAATAATGTTTTTACAAATCTTTGCAAATATTTTAATTGTTAATAAATCAAACGATGTTTAATGTTTAATTACATTATAACAAATTTTGATTGTTTTTTTAACTCCTTCGCAGTACTGATTTAGTGTTAAGCCAGTTTTCTGCCAGTACTGATTTTAGAACTTTTCTAACTCCGACATAGTACTGATTCGGTTTTGGAGTCAGTATACTCCCAGTACTGATCGGGTTCCGAAAGTCAGTACCGACGGTCAGTACTGAGTCAGTACCATGTCGGTGTTTAACTCCGTCCTAACTCCGGACATTTCAACTTGGGATACAGGTCAAAAAGGGTCTTAATAAAATTTATAGTTTTAACCTTTAAACTGATCGGTGCCAAAAAATCACGTTAACCACCGGTTTGTCAAACAGCAGACTGACAGACCGATGTTTATATTTTTTAGTGGTTTTAAATTATGTAACGAGAACTATTGGGTAAATATTTTATTTTCTAACATTATATAGTCAATATCTGAAGTATTTCATTTAAATTTATGTATAGTTTAAAATTTCTAACAACAAAAAATAATTACATGCAGATACTATTTTACAAAACATAATAAAATTTTTCATATAATTTCTTCTATGAAAAATAAAACTATTTAATAATTTTTAATTAATTAAATTAGAAATTTATTTATTTTAAGTCAATTTAATTTTAAGCAAAGAGAAAAACATTTTTGTCCAGTTTATTATTATTGTTTTAAAACAATATTTTTTCTTATAAAAATTATACCTAATAATAAAATTCTTTTTCGCAAAAGGAACAAAAATTTAGAACTCACTGAAAAGGCCATTTTCCAGGCAATTTCGGAAAATTGAATCCAATAAATTCCTTCTTCAAGGCCATATGGAGTGCGGCAAATTCTCGATATCGACGAGAGCATAAATGACGACCTGCCATGTGAACATTAAAAACAACATACCGTTCATGTTTTCTTTCGCGAACATGGTAATCCGGTACACTAATTGGTAAAGATCTTTTCTCACTGTAATCCACCGATGCATAGCTGGAAATAAAAAAAATTCCATATTATTTTTATTTATTGTATCTTTCGAATTAGGAGCGAATTTTATTCGACACTGTAGTTATTGTAAATTACCGTCGAGTCAACGTGGCTGCGTTACCACCCCCATGCGTTGGTTGTTTTCGGCACTCGCCCCGGGTTAACCCAGAGTTAACGATGGTCCAATCATCAATAACATTCTGTTGGAACTAACCAATCACCATTAAACCGGAGTCAACACGGGCGAGCGCCGAAAACAGCCGTTGTGTCTCCAAGATCTAGGGTTCGATCCCACAGAATAACTCGCCGAGCGCTCGAACGCATTCGCTAATACCAGTTGGGTAGCAGTGATAGGCCCAGAGGCGCTCACTGCTCCCCGACTGGTATTATGGGAAATCTACACTTCGATCTAGGAAGCTAAGCGGGACGTTTTTTCTTGGCGCTTCCTATAATTTACTATATCTATATGTTGTGGTCAAAGTCCGGAGTGCAGGCAATCCGCGGAGTGTCCGGGCACTTCGCAGTGTGCCCAAGTTGTTTTGGGCAAAGTCCAAAATACTGATTTATTTCGGGCTTTGCCCCAAATCCAAATTTAATTGAGAAACGTAATATTTGAAAATAAAAAAATTTTTATCCCACATGCACAAAAATGGCGCTTTTAGATAGCTGACGACAGGGAGTAAAGTCACTCATTTGTTCGACCATATGAAAATGGCGTCCATTTTCTCCCATGTGCAAACATAACTGCTGATCCCATGCGTTATTTTTGCCCAAGGGAGAAAACGGCCGCCATTTTCATATAAGTCGAACAAGTGAATGACTTTTTCTCCCTGTCGTCTGCTATCTGAAATCGCCACTTTTGTGCATTAGGAATAAAAAATATCATAAGTAACATGGGAATAAAGGCATCCTAATTTGTTTACGATGATTTTTGTAACACGAGTGGAGGTCGAGGGCGCCCCGAGACCTCCATTCGTGTCACAAAATTCACCGTAAAAAATGGCTGCCTTTATACCCTTGTTGCTTAATATACTATTTTAATGCTTAAATTAAATTAAAATATCATAAAATTTCAAATTACTGCAAACTAATGTTCTGCGTTTAAAATTTAAAAATTATAATAAAATTGAAATAAAAATATTATTTACTTAAACAAGGATTTGCATTATGGCATTTGGAATAGCACATAACATTATTTTTTTACACTTAGGGGAGCGTGGGGTAATGGGAGCTTTTAAATTTCACGTACTTAAAAGCCTTCAAATTCGCTGCAATGTCTAGAAAATCTTCTACAACCTTTGTTTATATCATTCCAAAACAAACGATTACATTCTTGACAAATTTTTAGTAAAGACAAGGGAAAATGTATTTTTTGCGTTTTCGTTGTAAAATGCCAAATATTTCTAAACATCACCATAAGTAGTTAAAATCGTATTATTTAGTTCTGTTTTTTCATTATATTATAGGTGAATATATGTAGATATGTATACTTGTATAAAAATTGAAATAATAATAAAATTTGTTTATGTTTTAATTTTTTTATTCAAATTTTGGCCTGTAAGAATTCTGTGGGGTAATGGGAGAATTAGTGTCAGACCAAAGAATTTTCGTTACTATGTTGCGTCTTTCGTTATTTCTTTCAAAATTGTAAAAGGTATCACCTTATGAAAAAACTTTTAATTAAAAAATAATTTTTGGTGGGAAAAATGAAAAATTTAATTTTTTTTCAAAAATTTTTTATTCAATTATAATTTAGGAAAAAATTTATTCTAAGTCTAAAGTTTTGGCTTCATTGTAAGTATTAACACTTTTTTCTATTAGAAAACAAAAAATATTCCTAAAACATAGAAATTTTTTAAATTTCAAGTGAAAGCTCCCATTACCCCACAAATTGGGTGATTGCAAAAAATGTATTTTTTTTTGAAAATTTTTTTTTTCCAATTTACTTTCTCTTTTTAAGTTTCTAATTAAACATAATTAAAGATAAATAACGAAATAAGTAGGAAATGACGAAAATAATGTATTATTATAAATATAAGTTGGTTTTTTTAATAATTTTCCTTAAGGGGCTCCAATGCCCCCACGCTCCCCTACAAGCCTTACTTAAATACATTTTTTTGTGCAATTGCATTTGACAAATCCTTGTAGACCAAATAGTGACTCCTCACCATTAATATGCCGAACTGAATCCATTTCTTGTGGGATTTCTGTCAATTTTAAAAATTGTTCTTCACACGGATACTTCAAAAGCAATACACAGAAATTAAATAGATTCTAAATACAAAGGAAAAAATACAAACAAGCCTATAATGTCATGATTTCGTATTTTATATGAAAAAGATAATTAATAAATTTTAAATTCAATCTAGTGGAAGCTTAAAGAATTACATTTTTCAACATTTTAGATAATTAAAAGCTGCATTTCAATAAAAATTACAATTTTCTGTTAATAAAAAACGATTTAAGGGGACATTCCAGTTCAAAACAGGAAAAAACAAGGCTTTTTAGTATATATTATTAAAATAACTATGACATTTATTTATAAAATTTCTTTTACAAGTAACAAATAATTTATTTAAGAATATGCAAAAAAAAATTTTCATTTTTACTTCAAAATGTCGGCGATATACGACATTTTCAAAAATGTCCATTTCTTATGGTAAGATCGATTCCAAACTTTCTAAAACAGATAAAACCAAAAACGAAGTGATATTCTCTTCGTTAGATATTTCTTTAGGTGTGGAACCTCAAAAAACGTAGAATTTTCTTCCCGTCTTTTTTTAGTGTACTTTTTCCCCAAAACATGAAAAAAACACATGTTTTTATTCAGAATTTCTCTTATAAATAAAAAGGGAGTTGGAAATTTTTCAGTTTTTTAGGTTCCACTTATAGATATGATGACAATGAATCGGATTTGCTTGAAAATCGTTACTGGAGGGTTTTTGGGGTCGCCGATTACGAATATGATATTAGATTTTTTAAATTCAAAATTAATTAATTTAAAAAAATTACCCGCCATATTAGATCCGCCATTTTGAATTTTAAAAATCTGATATCATATTCATAATCAGCGACCCTAAAAACTCCTGAGTAACGATTTTCAAGCAAATCCACTTGATTTTCAATTTTTTCTTCCGCCATATTAGATCCGCCATTTTGAATTTTGAAAATTTGATATCTAATTTGTGATCAGCAACACCAAATACATTTTTGTTTGTCTTTTTTACAAAATACAAATAAGAAAACATTTAAATCATTCGATTGGGTTCTGCTTATCCCTTTGAGGGGCAGTGGGACGTATACGTCCCACCTACAAAAACCTCAATATCTTTAACAAAAATTAATATTTTTGAGTCAAATTTAGTGCGTTCTTTTCAGGAAGAATAGGGCTTTAAAAATATGTAACCTAGATCATGTTAAAAAATTCCTATTGTTTTAAAAAATTCATAAATTATTGTTAACAGTCACGAATTGTTTAAACATTTGAAAATCGACTAAAAATTGTTACTCGGGGGTTTTTGGGGTTGCTGATTATGAATATGACATCAGTTTATAAAAATTTAAAATGGCGGATTCAATCTGGCGGACTATTTTTTAAAAATTGTTTAGTTTTACATGAAACTTATCACTCGGGGGTTTTAGGGATCGCTGATGACGATTCTGATGTTAGTATTTAAAAATTCAAAATGTCAAATCCAATATGGTGGACGATTTTTAAAAAATTGTTTAGTTTTATCTGAAACTTGTCACTCGGAGGTTGCAGGGTTCGCTGATGACGAATCCGGTGTTAATTTTTAAAAATTAAAAATGTCAGATCCAATATGGCGGAAGATTTTTTTTAAATTGTCTAGTTTTACCTGAAACTTGTCACTCAGGAATTTTTGGGATCGTTGATGACGAATCTGATGTTGGCTTTTAAAAATTTAAAATGTCGGATCCAATATGGCAAACGATTTTTAAAAAATTGTTTAGTTTTACCTGAAACTTGTCACTCGGGGGTTTCAGAGTTCGCAGATGACGAACCTGATGTTAGTTTTTAAAAATTAAAAATGGCGAATCCAATATGGCGCAAATTTTGTTTTAAAATTGTCTAGTTTTACCTGAAACTTGTCACTCGGGGGTTTTTGGGATCGTTGATGACGAATCTGATGTTAGTTTTCAAAAATTCGAAATTGCGGATCCAATATGATAGATGCCAAATGTAAAAATTTATTAAATTGTCACGAAACTTGTTACTCGGAGATTGTTGTAGTCCCTGATTACCAATCTTTAGTCTGTTTTTAAATTTTGATTGTAGATTAATAATTAGAGAATGCGGCTAATTTTACAACAAAAATTTCTAATTATTCAGCAACTCAGTTTTTACAATTATCCAATTGATCTTAGATTTCTAAAAAGCATTAACTTTTGAAAGTACCCAATGGGAAATTGCCAATGGTCACCATTGGCTAAATAATGGACCAATATTGGCTGCCAACAGTTTTTTCTTGGTCAAACATTAACAACCAATATTGCGCTATTCTTGCCAGAGTCTTGGGATGATCACGACTTTGCCAAGCATTGGCAGCCAATATTGGATCACTATTGGCTGCCAAGGCAAATGCCGGACTTTCCAAGCCTTGGATATTCATTGGCAACAAAGATTAGACCAATATTAATGACCAATTAATGACCAATGCTTTAAAATTAAATTAATGCTTGGTTATTTATTGGTTACCAATACTGAACCAGCGTTTGAAATCAATATTTTACAAATACCAACAAATAGCAAAAAAATTTTCAAAAAAAAATTAAATTACTAATCTAAAGAAAGAAAAATAATTAATTTAATTAGGACACTCTGTTAAAAACAGAATGTGATAAAAATCAGACAAAGACAAAATTGTCTAAGTTTGAGAATGCAAGCGTCTCTTCTTATATAGAACTGGTGAAACAACTTGCTAACGAGAGGAAGAAACTTAGGCGCACCCTGGTGCCAGAGCTTCTTTCACTCACTAACAAGTTGTGTAAAGTCCAACGCACAATAGGTGGTGTTTGATTTTGAAATGTCCCGCGCTGCTTCAAAGTATATACTCGAAATTACTTTGGATAAGTGCCACCAGGGTGCAGTAAAATGCCTAAATTTGAATGTATAAAAACAGGTAATAAGCAAAATACCTAGGCAGTTTACATACTGCCAAAGACGTTTCAGGTAATTAGAAAAATGTATATTGAAAGTCACAAAATTTTTTCTGTGGCATAACTTTTATACAACTATATATCTTGTAAATTTTTTTTTAAATCTGAAACATATTTGAGTTTAATTGAAACAAATTTTTTGGTTAATTTAAGAATTATTTATAATCAACTTTTAAGTTTAAATCAAACATAAAATTTTTTAACATAATTTTTGTTGAAATCTAAACTTAAAATATGTTTGAATTAAACATAATTATTTAAACAAATTATATTTTTGAATCAAAGCTTAAAAAAATTTGAATGAATACTTTTAAACAAATAAAATTTTTATTTATTCTACACTTATAAATATTGTTTATCTGGAACTCTTGTTTCAATTAAAGTAGCATAGATTAATAGAAACACATTTTAATAAAAAATATACTCCCATAAAATTTTTTTTTCTCTTTTGTTGAAATATATGATTAAATAAAAAAATTTGTAAACAGTTTTCAAAATTCTACCTCCACAGATTGCTGAACAATTGAGGCCTTGGATCGAATAACTCGCCTGAAGCTCGAAGACACGCGCTAATACCAGTCGGGCAGCAGTTAGTGGCCCAGAGGCGCTCACTGCTCACTGACTGGCAGTTGCGCGTTCCTCCGAGCGTCGGGCGAGTTATTCGATCCAAGGCCTCAATTTAATAAACTTTCATTTTAAAAAAGTTTATTAAAAACAAATAATATTTGTAACCTCTAGATAGGCAATAAAAACTTCAATTTTTAATAAATAATTAAAAAATTAATTTTTTTGAAAACGCACATCAGAAATGTTTTTAGTTAGGCTTACTACAAAAGATTATGAAAAAAATATTTGAAATTTGAAAAGTCCATTTCAGGTGGCCTGTTGAGAAATTTTCACCCCATTGCTACTTTCAATACATTTTTCTAATTGCCTGAAACGTCTTTGGCAGTATGTAAACTGCCTAGGTACTTTGCTTATTACCTGTTTTTATACATTCAAATTTAGGCATTTTACTAACTGCCCGCGGTCAGGAATGTAATTTTGAGAATAATTAATTAAAATATTAACAGATAAAAAAATTATTTACAAAAATACAAAAAAAAATTTTTTTTGAATTTTAAAAAAATTGTATAAAATTTTTTTTTTTAGATATTTTTGAAAATCCTTGTGTCAGATTTTAGGTATTAATGACTGCAATAAACCTGCAAAATTTCAAGACAATCCATCAAAATTTGTTTGAGATAATTTGTACACAATTTTTGTGACATACACACACACACACATACACACATACACACACACATGCATCTGGACATTTGCTCAGAATTGAATATACATATGTTATAGATGAAAATGAGTCCATATAACCTTCTTTTGAAAAATTGAAAATCGTCACGAATGCAAAGCTTCCTTATGAGGAAGCAAAAACAATAAAAATCGATTTTTTTGACATTTTGAACTGGAATGTCCCCTAAGTAACATTGCCCGCAGCCGCTTGGGCACTCCGCAGATTGCCCGCATCAACTTGGGGCTTATATGCATCTTAGTTCGAAGTGTAGATTCCCCATTAGGGAGTATGTTCGGGCTCTCGGAGAGTTCTTCTTTCCGGCTCCTCAATTGTTAATTAAGCTTAAATATTTAAATAAACAAAAAATATAATTAAACAATTATAAATAAAATAGCTAAATTATGACAATAAAAATAAATTATGACTGATAAATTACGGGTAATACTTTTCACTAGTATATAATACTATAATACAAAAATAATAATAAAAGTCAGAAAAAATTGTATTTTATTCTGGACAGATATTCTGACAAGTGACTGATAAATAGCATTTTCAACCAGTCACTTATCAGATTTTCTGTCAGTATCTAGAGATACTCCCAGTGACTGGTCGGTACTGAATTGAAATTTGTATACCTGGGAAAATACTTTCTGTACGACTTCCAATAAATATAGATTGTTAATTACTTTCATATTATTTTATTTTTAGAAACATAGAGAAAAGAAAAAAACTTTTTTTGAAAAATTAACCATCTTCTCATTAGGGACGGAAATGTAAATATTACTAAAATTAAAAAATGTTTTATAAAAAAAATTGTTTTTTTCTTTTCTTTTCTTAGTAAAAAGTATATTTAGAATTTTATAAGTCTGCTTAAAGATTATTTGCAAATAATCGAAATTAGATCTTCTTAAAGTAAATATAAAAGAGGAAATGTGTACCTTATATCCTCGCATGGTTCTAATCTCTCTGCTTCCTGTGGTGTTACTGAGATCACAGTTAAGGTCAAAACGTCACCTCCGGATTTTATCAGGTCGACTACCTGCTTGTGAGTTGCACCCTCGACGTTGACGTTGTTTCTGAAGAAATAAAGATTTTTTTTACATAGGATCAAGTTTTATCGGAAAAAATAGTCTTTGTATGTTACAATAAACTATAGATAGAAATATATATCCATCGTAATATAAAATTTTTATTATTAAACTTGCTGTCATACCCGTCTTCGACGGGTTTTAGTTTCTACAAATACATTTGAAAGGGTCCCGTGTGGAAAGTCATAGAAGTTTCTAGGTTCTGCTTCGTAGTACTAGATTCTTTATTGTTTCTAGACAGTTTTCTATATTGTGCCTATTGTCATTTGTAACCCTTCAGACAACTAGTTGTTAGACAGTTGAAAAAGTATAAATACTTTCCAGAATTAGGGATTGTAAATTTACCGACTTTTTCAATTACCGGTAATACGGTAAAACCGCTTTACCGGTAATACTTTTGACTAGTATATAATATTATAATAAAAAAAAAAAGGCAGATAAAATTCAATTGAAAATAAAGCATATTTGAAAATATTGTGAATATAAAACAAAACAATTCAGCATATTATATTAAGTTTCTCTTTAAATATTTTTAAAAATAAAGTAATACATATAAAAGTTCTAATTCATTTTTTATTACTAAAAACAAATAGTATTATGCAATGTTAATTGTTTTTTATTGCGATAACAGAATTATGTTAAAAATTTTGTGAACATAAAACAACATTTTAAGGTTATGTCCAAGTTGTGAAATGTAAACAAACCAAAAGGTAAGCAAACCAAGCACTTAAATCGCACTTTTGTAACATCCATTTCTTCCACAAAAAATAAAATTTTTACACTTTCTTTACGAAAATGGAAAATTAGAGTGTCAAAGTTTTCAATGAAATCATTTTTGACTATGAGCAAAGAAAAGCAATTATTAAAATAACTATTTAAAATGACTTGCAAAATAGCATTTTTGACGCGTCGCAAAAAATAATCTGTTTGAGTATATCAACCGCACAGATAATGAAGTAGTTCCAGAGAGCGATTGGACGTTCAACATGTGAAAAGGGAAATTTTTCCCTTTCCTCCTTGTAATTACAAGGGAAAGGGTAAAAACTTCTTCATCGTCCGTGCGGTTGATATAGTCAAACACTTTAATTTTTGGCGACCTAAGACTCTGTTGCTCTCTGCACAAGCGCAGACCGTACTAAGAATGCATTGACAGCACCATGTGGAAGTGCACATTTTGTTTTAAATGATACTTAGTTGTTTTCTCATGCTTTCAGTTATGCACACCTTGCATTTGGTAACTACACCAGTTACCAAATTCGATACTTTAGTTCACCATTTCCATAAAGAAAATGTGAATTTATATTTATTTACGCAAATGGCAACCACGAAAAATTCTTCATTATAGATCGAATAGTGAAGCATTTTTTCGCGGTTCCCATTTGCGTAAATAAATATAAATTCACATTTTCTTTATGAAAATGGTGAACTGAAGTATCAAATTTGGTAACTACACCTTGCATAACTGAAAGAATGAGAAAACAGCTAAGTATCATTCAAAACAAGATATGTATTTTCGCATGGTGATGTCATTGCGACCTTGGTACGGTCTGCGCATGCGCAGAGAGCAACAGAGTTCACGTCGCGAAAAATTAAAGTGTTTGACTATATCAACCGCACGGACGATGAAGAGGTTTTTACCCTTTCTCTTGTAATTACAAAGAGGAAAGGGAAAAATTTCCCTTTCCACATGTTGAAGGTCTAATCGCTGACATGATTTAAAAGTAAATTTCTTTAAAAGTACGCACGTAAAAAACATAGACTGTCAAAACTTTTATCTCCTAATCGTGACCGAATTTTAGTAGAAAATAATCCAGCTGCAGAAAATGAATGTTTGATCATCGACAATAAATAATTATTTTTATTTGTTTATATTAATCGCTTAGCATAAAGAAAATGCGCTGGGACTAAACCATGGGTTAAAAAGACACGAACTTGCTGATCAATTTGCTCTTAGAAACTTGTCACTAGCGCTCTTTGTACACTAAAAAAAATTTATTTTATTCAAATAACCGATTACTTGACTATCATCAATTAAATATTTAATTTAATCAAATAATATTTATTACAGTCAATTTTCTACTACTTTAAGATTAAGATTTTGTGTTAGCATACACTAACGTCGGAAATTTTTGGTTCGGTTCCACGCGCATGGCCCAAAAACATAGGTACCAAACTTTAAATCACGATTCTTCTGTAAAAACAAATGTGTAACGATGGGCTATAATATAACTCCTCAGTTCGTAGCCTGACATGCTTCATGGAGTTCCTTGGGAAGAATGGTTACGAACTCACTCCCTAGCCCTTTTACCACTTGGACCTCCCTGCGGGAGCTCTCACAAGAGGACCTCGTGGTAAAGATTTCCTTTTCCTATACTCTGCCCCCCAGGTGTATATAGGAGCTCTTATTACACCTGAGGCTAAGCTACGGAGACGATTCCTTCCCTTAGGGAGCACCCTGGATAAGAAATCGACAGTTGAGTTCCTAATTCACAAATCTTTCGCGTCGGACAAGAATATCGGCAGCGTATTAGAATCTATTCGAATTAGAATGTATTAGAATCTTGTTATTATTATTATTATTATTATTATTATTATTTGCTTAGGGACTTTTGGGAAATCTGCCTACAGATACCTTGGACTCCGCACTCCAAGGCTATGTGGGGTTGGTATGATAAAACAAAAGAAAATAGGTATAAAAAAAGAAAAATAAATATATATCATAGTAAATTTAATAACTGGCGACCTACTACCAGCCCGAAAAGATAAAACTGCATAAAGACGAATAAAAAACACAAAACAAATTAAAAAATGTATAAGGACAAATAAATCACAAAATAAATTAATAAAAAACAAACAAAAAATTAAAAGCTGTTTAAATCACGCCTTTTGGCGGCCGTCGAGATCCTTCCTCGACATAACCGAGGTTACGAAGTTCTCGACTTGCTCCTTTTAATACTATTTATTTGCTTTTAGTTCTTGCGAGAGTCTTCATCGCCTCCTCAAGGGCCGTTATGAAGACTCCGCATCCTCCGCTGCCTGCAATATGGGTGGTTGATACCTTATTGCCAAACTTTTCCTTGCATAAAAAGCAACTTGGGCTCTTCTTACAGTTGGAGAACCTGTGACCGGCTTCACCGCACTTAAAGCACGCAGCCGATCTGTCCACCTTCTGGCATTTCGCTCCAATATGACCGTATCCCAAGCATCGATGACACCGGACGACCATTACTCTTTTTCTAATTGGGCAACACATAAAACCAATTTTTACGTGTCCCAATTTCTCCAGCCTGTTCGCCTCTTCCGGGTTGGTGACTACAACCGCGAGCTTCATCCCTCGGCGGTTGGGTCTTAAGACCGTCACTTTCCTGCATCCTGAATTTCCTATCGCTTCCGACAACACTTGTTGCACCTCGGTTTCTTAGGTAAGGTAATTCAAATCACGGATCTCGAGTGTAACTCTTCGATCCAACGACTGCACCTTACCCATGCTTCCAACCGCTTTGGTGATCTCAGCGGTGAAAGCGCCCTTGTCGGAGCCTCCTCTGATCTTAATCAGAAGGTCTCCCTTCTTTGTAGCTTTCGCTGCTACTATTCTCGTATGGCAGTCGTTCGGGTTGACCTCTTTCCGAAGTTTACCCAGAACGTCAACAAACGTTAATCCTTGACCGACTCGGATTAGAACTGCGGATCTTTTTGACCCCATTCTTTTTATTTGAGGAATCTTTGGATCTGGTACTTCCGTTTCCATTGGAGGAGCTTCCTCCTTTTTCCTCTTATCGGTTTGGGTTCAAGTCTCCCCTGGACTGTCACCCTCTCGCTTCCGTTTTTGAGCATCTCTTAGGACGCTTTTGAGATTACGCCTATAGGAACGCTCTCTCCTCTCCCTATGGTCCTTGCGGTTACACTCCGCACCGCTAAGAACGCATGCCAAATCGAAGTCCGACTCATCGGCCGCGACATGCTTTACTTTTGCCTCTTTCAACAGGACTTCGATGGCTTTGAGTCCATCTTTTACCGTCCTGTTGACGTTCTTCTGAATGTCGCAAGATTTTATCATCTTTGCGACCTCCAACTCCATTTTGTCGAGGCAAGTCGCCTCCTCCTTTCTGAGCCGCGAGCATATCTCGCGAGTCTCTTCTATTGCCTCGTCGTCTAGTTCTGAGTGGATAGCGCTATGTACGGTCTTTCCGCTACTGCAGCTTGACACACTCAGAAGGCTCGACGCGCTTCCCTTTCTTATTCTTTCTCCTTCCACAATGTTCTGTGGATCCAATTTCTCCACGATCAAGCCCTAAGCACAACTGAGTCGGGTGCGGGAGACGACTTCGGGATATGGGCTTCCTAACCTCAAAATGTATGTAAATCTTAGGCTGCGGTTACACCTCTGCAGGCTGCCTGCCTGCGCAGGCAGGAGCAACGAGAGTAAGGGAGAAGTTTAAAGTCACTGACTCTCTTACTCTTGTACGTTACCATGACAACCTGCAGGCAGGCAGGCTGCCTGCAGAGGTGTAACCGCAGCCTTACATATCCCGAAACCGAACAGTTGTGCTTAGGCCTTCACCCGTGGCACTGCAAGAAATTGTGCGCCCCCACAATCCGCGCGCACTTGAGCATCAGTCTTGGGACCGATGGTGAGATTTCCCGTTTTTGGCCTGCTCACATGGGGTACTTTCTTTGAATTTTGTGAATCCATTCTTTCTTGCTGTTTAGTTGCCCTTTAGTGAAAAGCCCCGCCACCACGGAAAGGTCTACCGAACATATCCATGATGCCAGTCGTGTCTGGCAGCGGGACCACTTCTCCCAGCACATCAAAGAAATCAATGATGTTTGGCAGTGAACCCGCTTCTACCAGCACATCTAAGACATCAATGATATTCGGCGGAGATTATTATTATTATTATTATTATTATTATTATTATTATTATTATTATTATTAGAATGTATTAGAATCTTGTTTCTGCCTAAACGAAGAGCAGATTCAGTTTCCT